GTCTAGTTCCCTTCTTTGTTTTTTACCTTAGTCTTTACTGTAATTTGTGCAGTACCTTCAGTCCCCCTGCCCGCGCCCCCCAGCAGCCCGCACACCGTGATCATGTCCAGGAGGCCTCTCTCCTGGTGTCTCTGTGCTGAGCAGCTCTGCCCAATTCGCCGACTCTCCCATGGGATGGACAGGCCGTCTTCCCCCCACCATGGGTTCCCGTGTCCCCGTCCGGTGTAGAAAGAAATCGTGGCGTGGGTTTACTGCCGGGCTCCCCGGCGTGTTCTGTGCGTCTACACGCCTCTTTTCATTTCGGTACGAGGCCGTCTGACCCCGACGGCCTTCCAGGACAGTCAGACACCAGGCAGCGTGACTTCCCCATCTCTTTGGTTGGGAACAGAAACGGTGATGAAGAGAGGTAAGCATCTGGGAGCCCATTTCGGAAGACACACGCTGGGTTGGCCTGGGGCGCCCCGGGTGGCCCGGATTCAGGGGGCAGGGGGTGAACGGCCAGCAGACGGGCCTTTGGAGGGAAATCTAGCGCCTTCCTGTCGACCCCGCAAGTCCCACGTGTGGTGTGGGGCCTGGGAGAGGGTCTGCGTGAGAGGAAGAGCGGGATTCACCAGCGGGCTGGCCAGGGTAGGTGGGCGGAGCTTACCTGGGCAGGTGAGGGGCCCCGGCCCTGCCCCCATTCCTGAGGCTTGGCTGTGGAATCTTGCATCCACCCGGCCTGGCCGCCCCCCGCAGACCAGGTGCAGAGACGGGCGCCCTGGAGAGTGCTGGGTGTCGTAGTCACAGAGGCCACGTGCAGCCGTGGGCCAAGGCGTCACCCCCACCCACACCCAGGGGGAGCCTGTATCGAGTGCCGCTGGGACTGTGCCCACGTCAGCGGCGGCACACAGATGCCCCTCCCCCAGTTTCCATGTCCCACGCACCCCTGGGTCTGCAGGCAGAACCACGTGTCCAGAGAGTGGCCGGGAACCAGGAGCCATGTCCACGCTCCGACAGAGGGGTGGACCTGGAGCCCCATGCTCCGCCCCCCCGCCGGCACCTGAATCACGGCAGCACCACAGCCGGCTTCTGGGTGCCGCGCACCGAGAGGCCACGCCCTGTCCTGGGAGACGCGGGGGCAGCCCTGCCGCCGGGGAGGGACCTGGACCAGATGAAACTACAGCCTTAGATTGGCTGCCACTCCGTACCCAGCAACTGCACTGTGAGGGGTGGGCCCCGAAGACCCTGTGTGGGGGGCCGGGCATCAGGGGGGCGCCCCGAACCCGGAGGTCACCGGTCCGGTTCCTGGACAGGGTCGGTGCCCGGGATGTGAGCTCAGCCTCCATCCGCCACACGGGCGAGAGGCGACAGGTGGAGGTTTCTCTCTCAGCTCGACGGTTCTCTTCCTCTTTCTCCACCCCTCCCCCCTCTCTAAAAATGGATGCCTCTCTTCAAAGAGGCCACCAACCAGGTGCCAGCCCCGTCCTCCCCACCGCTCAGAGGGGACGACTCCCAGTGTTAGGGATGCTGACCAGGAGTGAGGGGGAGAGACACTGCGCAGGAAGTGTGTCCCATCTGGGGACAGTGCCGGCGTGGTTCTAGGCGCAGGGGCCCAGTGTGTGGGGACATTCGGGTGCCCACTTCTCAGAGGTGGCCTGGGACCCGAAGCCTTTAGGGAGATCACTGGCACCTTCTGTTGCAAGCAGCGACCCAGAAAAGCAGCACCGGAAGGGACCCAGCGGGTGGGAGAAGGGTGGGGTGCCCTGGACGTTTCCCTCCCAGAGGCCCCTTGGACGAGACTGGGGGAGGGGCTTGCTCAGGGGGTCCCCATGGTTCCAGTGGGGCCAGCTGCCAGGTCCTGAGACCCCGGGCCTGGCGTGTGCCCAGCCCTGCTGCACCTGCCCAGGTCAGAGGTCACCTTCGCAGATGAGCAGCTGCCCACTGCCACCTCCCAGCAGACCCCACGGCAGGAGGGTGGGCTCAGAAACGTTCCCAAGGCGGCCACGCCACAGGCCGCCCGCATGGGTAGTGTCCGGGCCAGGATCCCGCACAGCCCAGCCTCCCCCGCAGCAGGCTCCTGGCTGCGGAAGGTGGCGAGGCCACCCATGGCCCCGTGAGAACTTTTACCATGTGACACCTGACCTGTTGTTAGTCAGGGGCACCGACCTCTTTTCCCTCAGGTGATCAAATGAAAAATGACCACAGACGACACAATAGTAGACGTCTGGTGTGAATGAATCAAAATTATACCAATTTTGCTCATCAGATCAGCCGAAAGTGCAATTCATTTTCTGGTGTGACTCAGAATTGCAGTGGTTTGCTTGCATGTGCTGCGAGGGGGAAAGGGTGGGTGTGGCGGGTTTAAGGTGACACCTGGGTCTGTGGGCACCCCAGCCCCCGCCGCTCCTGGGGACCCTGGTGCCGAGGGGCTACTTGTGCCCTTCCCTTGGGCTCCCTGTGGAAGAGGTCCCCCAGCACGTCCACCAACTGCCGGGGACGTCTCTGGTGGCTACTGGGGACCTTGGGCAGCTCCTCACCTAACGGGAACCCAGGTTACAGGGAATCATCTGCACCCTGCTGACCAGCTCCCACATATACGAGCATGTCTTCTTCTGCACTCGAGGCATCAGCTGCGTCTTCTTCTTGGTCATCCCAGCCCCTGAGAGCTCCCCAAGGACGCTGCCTGGAGGACAAGGAAGGCTCAGTGAGTCGGGCCCTGTTCACAAACGGTGTCCTTGGCAGCGGCGGCCCAGCTGGACGCAGTGACTCTCTCTGGGAGAGCAGCGCACAGGGGACGCGGCACCGACGTCACGCTGGGGACACCCCCTGACCGGGTGACGAGGTCAACGTCACCTCAAGGTGCCGGGGACGTCGGTGCCCCTGATGCGGAGCTGTGGGCGGGGAGCTCCCCTCAGCGGGGTGCTGCCCACGGCCCGTAGCCCCCGCTGTCAGCAGAGAGGCAGCAGCCACGCCTGGGCGCAGCGGGTCCACAGAGCACCCAGCGGCCACCCCGCCACCCTCTCACGGCCGGGAACGCCAGCCAGGTCTGAGGGACGGTCCCAGGCCAGGGGACCAAGGACACGTGGTATCAAATGCCACGTAGTATCTGTCGTGAGCGGGACCCCGGGACGGGAGAGGGTCAGTGATACGAAAGGTGGTCACCCCATAAAGCCAAGTCTGGGGACTAGGGACTCGTAAGGGGACAGCGCTGGCTTCCTTTTAGCTGTGACCGCGGTGCCTGTCCCCTTGTCATGAAAGTCAGGGGGGCCGAAATGGTGGGACACGGGATTTCTGTCCTGTATCAAAGATCGTGTCTCAGAGGCGACCTCAGCGCCACCTGTGCTCACGCAGGAGGCCGCCTGCTCCCAGGACCTTGTGCACCTGAGGCCTGTGTCCCACAGCCCCCCGGCCGGCTGCCCCCGCACGGCACTGCCACTTACTGATGGTCAGTCCTGAGGGTGCTGCGATCCTGGCCACGGCTACCGGAAGCTATGGGCCGATCAAGAGCGGGAACCTGCGCAGCCTTATTTTCTCCTCCCCTGATTTGGAGCTCAGCAGCCTCATGGTGTCTTCCACTGTGATGAGTGTCTTCGAGGGCCTCGAAGGAAACCTTTCAGAGGAGAGTTTCAAGGGTATTAGAGTGTTTCCACCCAACACTGACTCTACCTAGAGTTTTAGGGACGGGTCCTCATTTTTGGGAGACAACCGTAGCTCCCCTGTGCGCCGAAGGAACAGCACCCAGGCATGTGACACACTGTCTGTCACCGAGAAAGCAGGGCTGCGGCTAGTTCACAGGCAATGACTGTGAAAGGCCTTTGCTTTGGAGGCCCCTGGTCCCTGCAATTTCAGAATGGGGGCAGGGTCACCTACCTCAGGTTCCGAGTCAGGAAAACATCAGAAGGCCCGGCCCCACCCGCCCCCCAGCCCCTCTGCCCCCAGGCCCCCACGGGGGGCTCCATGCATCCCACCCCCTGACAGGGCCCCCTCACACCTCTCAAAGGGCCTTTTCAAAGGCCAAGCAAGCTTCCAGCCGCCCCTCCCCCAAAACCCATCTCCCCTCCTAAAACGTTGACTGCCCCTCCTGACCATCTCCAGAGCAGCACCTGGGGCTCGTCCCCCAGGGGGCAGGTGTGCTGACTAGGACGTGTGCCCGGTAGGACCCGCCTTGCCCACCTGTCACCTGCCCCCCTCCACAGGCCTATTACAGCGGGAGGGACGCACAGGCTACCTCGGGGGGTCACACACCTAGCTACAGGGAGAGGTGACCCCCACACAGCCCAGGGTGAATGAGGAAGGAGACACGCGAGTGGGTGGGTACTATAGGGGGGTCGCACCACGAAGGCAGGGTTACCGTGGTGGTCGCACACACGCACACCAGGGCTAGGTCAGGCGGTGAGCCCCCCCCACCCCCCACACACCAGATGATAGTGGCCGGTGACACCCACTGCCGCCCAGATACTCTGGGAGATCAGGACCAGCGCCCCCTGGTGGTGCGGGCTGGGGCCCTGAGCACCCCCCGGCTCCAGGGGGTGGGCCCTGGCCAAGGAGCTGGGGGCCAAGGTCTCCCAGAGACGGGGCTCCCTCCTCCCTTAAGTTTTCCTTCCTGCGAATAGAGGTGGCCCGGCGGGAGGGCCTCCCACCCACCCCCGGGAGGGTCCCACAAACCCAGGGAGGACAGGGCGGTGCTCACTCGCTGGCAGCACACGGCAAGTGGCATGTGGTGGCCAATCAGCCGGGAAAGGCGGGGCTCAGGTGGGGGTCAGGCGGGGACAGGAGCTGCCAGCAGTCCCCTTACCGACTGAACACTGGGAGGGGACCACTCCCCAGTTACACACGCTGACCAGGAGTGAGGGGGAGAGAGACTGTGCAGGAAGTGTGTCGCATCTGGGGACAGTGCCGGCGAGGTTCTAGGAGTGGGGTGGGGGGGCCCAGTGTGGGGGAACTTCAGGTGCCCACTTCTCAGAGGTGGCCTATGACCCGACGCCTTTAGGGAGAGAAATGACACCTTTTACTGCAAGCAGCGAACTGAAAAGGTGGAACCGGATGGGACAGTAGGGCCCGGGGGCCTGGGGGTGAAGGGCTGGGTGCCCTGGCGTTTCCCTCCCAGGGGCCCCTCGGAAGGGGCCGAGGGGAAGGGCTCGCTCAGGGGGTCCCCATGGTTCCAGCGGGGCCGGCTGCCAGGTCCCAAGACCCGAGGCCCGGCGGGGCGCCCACTCCTGCTGCACCTGCCCGGGTCAGAGGTCACCTTCACAGATGAGCGGCTGCCCTCCTCGACCTCCCTGCAGACCCTACAGCAGGAGGGTGGGCTCAGACACCCGCCCCACGCGGCCACGCCACACAATCCCATCCTGTGTGATGTCCAACCAGGATCCTGCACAGCTGAGCCTCCCCCGCAGGGGGCTCACAGCAGCTGAAGGTAACACAGGGTGGGGCAGGGCACCCCAGCCCCCGGGGCCCTCCCACGACAGCCCACGGCCCGAGGGGCTAATAGCTGTACCTCACCTCGGCCCCGAGCTCGTTGGTGACAAAGTGCACTAGCATGGTGGCCAGCTGTTGCTTCAGGGCCACACTGCCCATGACCAGTCCGGTCAGCGTCACAGCATCTGTCCAATCCAGGTCCTTCACAATGGCCATGAACTCATTGTACAGCTTCTCCTGCTTAGCGGGCGGCAGCTCCATGAGGATCTGAGGGACAGACTGAAACTGTCCACTAGTCATCCAGGCCCCAAACAGCCCCCCGACAGCAGCCCCTGGAAGACAAGAAAAATTCAATGAGTTGTGCCTGCATGTAAACGGTGGCCTTGAGCTCGCTGAGAACTGGTCCCCATTAAGACAAGCGGGTACTTTCAGGAGTGGTTACAGCTGGCTGAACCCCAAGTCCGAGCTAATCACCACTGGTTTCTCCGGTCACAGCCCGGGGTTTGAGTGACAGCCCGGGGCCGGGCCCCTGGGGAATCTCCCTGTCCCTAGTCCAGAGGAAGCAAGGTCACCTCCCTCCCAGGGACCAGGGGACATCGGCCCAACTTCATCCCCTGGCAGGTCCTGGTTCCCACGTGGGAGTAGGTGGGAAACAAGGACAGGTGACTGTCAGTCGTGGTTGGCAGCTTCTCCTGCCCGGGACAGTTTAACTGGGAGCGGGGACGCCCTCTCTGAACAGCTCACGTGAACTGACAGACGGTACGGTCCCCCCCCATGGGTGCCCCTCCTGAGGGCACCTGTAATGATGACGATGGGGGAGGGGCCGCCCAGGGACTCCCTGAGGCCTCAGTCTGCAGGACACATCCCTGGGCAGGGCGTCCTCCGGGTCTGCGGGACACGGGGGCCATTTGCAGACACCTGCAGGTCGGAGACTCGGACACAGGGGCTGGTGTTTCCCAGGACGCGGTTTGTGACAGAGACCGTGTCTCAGAGGCGACCTCAAGGCCACCCCTCCTCACGGAGGTCGCAGCCTGCTCTGAGGGCTCTGGGGACCTGGGGCCTTTGTCCCTCAGCCCCCGGGCCGGCTGCCCCGCTGGTACTTACCGACAGCTAGGCCCGGTGGGCCACCAAACAAGCCACCAATGAAGGTCACGGCACCAGTGACTATAGCCCCCTTCCCTGAGTGTTTGACGGCTGCTTTCATTTTCTCCTCCTGTGATATGGAGCCCAGCAGCCTCATGACATCCTCTACTGCGATGGGCATCTCGGCGGCGTGGGAGGAAGCGTTTCTGGAGAGAGATTCCAGAGTGTCAGAGCGTTACCACCCAAAGGCGACTCTCCCCAGAGTTTGGGGGACGGATCCTGATTTTTGGGAGGGCACTGTAGCTCCTCTGTGCGCGTGAGGGACAGCACCCAGTCATGTGACACGTTCTCTGTCACCGAGAAAGCAGGGCTGCGGCCAGTTCACGGGCAAACAGAAGTAGCGGGCGGATGGAAACTCTTCTGTGCTTTCCAGTGACCTCTGCCCGGGGACAAGGAGGGACCTGCCCGCGTTCAGTGCAAGTGAGGCAAGGCCTGGATGAGTGTGGGGTGTCCCACCCAGTGTCCTCTTGGGAGATGTCCTCCTGGCCTCTCCCAGACAGGACACCTGGGCTCCAGACAAGCCCGAGAGGGGGGAACTGGGGACTCGGCCATCGAGACACAGGCCTCACACCCTCCCCGCTGGCACTGGGACTCCAAGCAGGGTGTTGGGTCCCGGCCTGTGGGGTGGTCAGCCCTTCCCCCGGGCTGGATTCTGGAGGGGTGAGGGGAGCGCTGCCAGGTGCCCGGGGAGCGGGGACCCCGCAGACCCTCGGATGTGGTGGCTCTGGGTCAGCATCCTGCCGCTGACCTCCACCCCCGGCCTCCAAATCCACCCCTGGGGAGGCAACCCACTTCTACTCACGGGTTGGATGAGGCAGAACGATGGGGCAGCCACAGAATAAGAGAAATTAGACAGTCCCAGGGTCTAATGTAACTGTGGGTGGGACTGACCTTTGGAACAATGATGACGGAGCAGTTCTATAGGCTCAGCAACCTGGGTCCCGCTATCCCTGACTTCGGGGAAATGGGAGCTTGGCAGGAAAGGGCAGGTGGGGCCAGAGCAGGGCAGGGACAGGTGGACTCACGATCATGGTCATGTGGTTGGAGTGCCCCACCTGGACACCTTCAGAGGCGCCTCTTCCTGCTTCAGCTGGAGCCGAGGCTGGGGCCCCTCCCCTCCCAGCTCCCCCCTCCCCCGCCCCCTGCATTCAGGGCTGACCCCTGCAAACAGTCATCGAGGGGGCCTGTGGGGACGATGGGGGTCGACTCCATTGGTCTGTGCCTTCTGGTTGGATGAGGGTGCTCTGAGCAAGGAGTGTCCACGCCCGTGTCTCATGTACCGGGACCCCCCGAGCCCCGGGAAGGAGCTGCGAGTTCTCAGACCTGCCCTGCGGACCCTCCCACCCCATACTCAGGCTCCAGAACGCCCTGGGCTGCCGGGAGCGCTGGGGGGTCCCGGGCTCAGAGCCTGTCCCTGCTCCGACTCCTAGGTGTCCTGGGTCTCCCCAAACCCTTCTGGCTTCGGGACCCTCTGCTCCCCAGCAGTGACCACCTGCAGACAGAGCTAATGCGCACCTCCTTTCCAAACGAGGGCCCCTTTGGCCCTCCCAGAGGTGAGGAGTGTCAGCTTGCCAATGTCAGAGTCATCAGACGGCACCCGGCAGAAGCCAGTCCGAATGGGGCGGGAGGGCAGGACTGATCAGCCTGGGCAGCGAAGCAAACAGCAGGGGCTGCCACCTTTCATCCCGAAGAACCGTTTGCCAAGGTGATAAGAACGTTGTCCTCGTGGCCCTGGACTGATGGTCAGGGGGCTCCGAAGTTACTACGCTGCTCAGAATCAGTGTCACTCTGACACGCTACCGGCACCCAGAGACAGGCCTCCCTTCTGCAGTGGCACTGTCCCCTGCCTGCCTCTGGCCAGAACGGTCCTTGGCCTTCTGCCAGAATCCGGCCTCCCGCCCGAGCCCTTCCGGCTGACCTCAGGCTAACGCCTGCTGCTTCACTGTGAAAGGCCTTTGCTTTGGAGGCCCCTGGTCCCTGCAATTTCAGAATGGGGGCAGGGTCACCTACCTCAGGTTCCGAGTCAGGAAAACATCAGAAGGCCCGGCCCCACCCGCCCACCTGCCCCTCTGCCCCAGGCCCCACGGGGGCTCCATGCATCCCACCCCCTGACAGGGCCCCTCACACCTCTCAAAGGGCCTTTTCAAAGGCCAAGCAAGCTTCCAGCCGCCCCTCCCCCAAAACCCATCTCCCCTCCTAAAACGTTGACTGCCCCTCCTGACCATCTCCAGAGCAGCACCTGGGGCTCGTCCCCCAGGGGGCAGGTGTGCTGACTAGGACGTGTGCCCGGTAGGGACCCGCCTTGCCCACCTGTCACCTGCCCCCTCCACAGGCCTATTACAGCGGGAGGGACGCACAGGCTACCTCGGGGGTCACACACCTAGCTACAGGGAGAGGTGACCCCCACACAGCCCAGGGTGAATGAGGAAGGAGACACGCGAGTGGGTGGGTACTATAGGGGGGTCGCACCACGAAGGCAGGGTTACCGTGGTGGTCGCACACACGCACACCAAGGCTAGGTCAGGCGGTGAGCCCCCCCCCACCCCCCACACACCAGATGATAGTGGCCGGTGACACCCACTGCTGCCCAGATACTCTGGGAGATCAGGACCAGCGCCCCCTGGTGGTGCGGGCTGGGGCCCTGAGCACCCCCCGGCTCCAGGGGGTGGGCCCTGGCCAAGGAGCTGGGGGCCAAGGTCTCCCAGAGACGGGGCTCCCTCCTCCCTTAAGTTTTCCTTCCTGCGAATAGAGGTGGCCCGGCGGGAGGGCCTCCCACCCACCCCCGGGAGGGTCCCACAAACCCAGGGAGGACAGGGCGGTGCTCACTCGCTGGCAGCACACGGCAAGTGGCATGTGGTGGCCAATCAGCCGGGAAAGGCGGGGCTCAGGTGGGGGTCAGGCGGGGACAGGAGCCGCCAGCAGTCCCCTTACCGACTGAACACTGGGAGGGGACCACTCCCCAGTTACACACGCTGACCAGGAGTGAGGGGGAGAGAGACTGTGCAGGAAGTGTGTCGCATCTGGGGACAGTGCCGGCGAGGTTCTAGGAGTGGGGTGGGGGGGCCCAGTGTGGGGGAACTTCAGGTGCCCACTTCTCAGAGGTGGCCTATGACCCGACGCCTTTAGGGAGAGAAATGACACCTTTTACTGCAAGCAGCGAACTGAAAAGGTGGAACCGGATGGGACAGTAGGGCCCGGGGGCCTGGGGGTGAAGGGCTGGGTGCCCTGGCGTTTCCCTCCCAGGGGCCCCTCGGAAGGGGCCGAGGGGAAGGGCTCGCTCAGGGGGTCCCCATGGTTCCAGCGGGGCCGGCTGCCAGGTCCCAAGACCCGAGGCCCGGCGGGGCGCCCACTCCTGCTGCACCTGCCCGGGTCAGAGGTCACCTTCACAGATGAGCGGCTGCCCTCCTCAACCTCCCTGCAGACCCCACGGCAGGAGGGTGGGCTCAGACACCCGCCCCCACGCGGCCACGCCACAAAACCTCTTCATCCGTGATGTCCAGCCAGGATCCTGCAGGAGGCTCATGGATGTGGAATTGGGGATTTAACCCACTGCACCTTGAGAATTTTTAAAACAGGCAACACCTGACCTATTGGTGAGGCGCACTGACCTCTTTTCCTTTAGACAGTCAAGTAAAACTGACTGACAACGGACAACACAAAACCGACGTCTCGTGTGAATGAATCAAAGTTATACGAGTTTTGTTCATCAGATCAGGCAAAAGCACAATTTATTTTGTGGTGTGATTCGCCTGCGTGTGCCATGAGGGGCAAAAGGGTGGACGTGGTGGGTTTAAGGCCATGCGGGGAGCTGTGGGCACCCAGCCCCCACCACTCCTGGGGACCCGCGGCCCTCGGGGCTAGAAGCCAAACTGCACGTCGGTCTTCAGCTGCGTCTTGAAGAAATTCACCAGCATGTCCTGCAGCTGCTGCTGGAGTTTGTCATTGCTCATGACCTTGTTGATCAGGTCTGTGGCATCCTTCCAATCGAGGTGCTTCAGGATGGGCGTGAGCTCCCTGAGCAGCTTCAGCTGCTCAGCGGGTGACAGCTCCATGAGGATCTCAGAGACAGGCTTGAAGGGCTTACTGGTGCTCCAGGCCAACAGCCCCCCGATGACACCCCCTGGAACAGAAGGAAGGCTTGGTGAGTCAGGCCCTGTCCTTAATAAGTGATGGCTTTCGGCTCCCTTGGGAGCAGGTCCCTGCCGCGATGAGCAGGCACCGCCGGCTCAGCTCAGCCTGGCAGCGCAGAGGGCACGGCAGATGTGGCCTCACCTTGTGGACTCGGGTAACCGGCACCACGGTGGGCCCTTCCCAGAGCCCCCCTGTCATGGAGGCAGCGCGAAGCGTGTCCCCTCAGAGCTCTGCTCACGAAAATGCTCTTGCTGGGCTGGAGGTTTCCGTTTCCCTTGAACACCTTCTCGCAGAGGGGACTGCCGAGAGGCGAGTGCACTGTCAAGAACCACCTCGGGACTAAGCATTTATTCATTGAGTGGCTGCTGTGCTCCTGGCCCCTGCACTCTGCAAACTTCCAGGGAACTCGCCTGGCTAACGGGCCCTACACACAGATGAGGAGACCTTTTCTCTGGAAGCAGTGTTCTCCAGACCACCCTCCAGAGCGGTATGGTGATAGGTAAAAAGTTTATTTGTTTTTTATAGGCTTTATTTATTTAATGTTAGGAAGAAGGGAAGAGAGGAGACAGACAGGGAGAGAAGTGTTGACGTGCGAGAGGAACACGAATCAGAGCCTCTTGCACGTGCCCTGACCGGGGACCCGGCCCACACCCCAGGCGTGCGGCCTGACCAGGAATCAAACCGGTGGCCTTTTGCTTCACGGGTCGACACCCATCCCTCTGAGCAACGCAGGTCGGGGCAAAGGATGCCAAATTTAACATATTCAACTATTGCTCTTTTTGCTACCTTCAAAGGGCACAAACATCATTGCAAATGTAAATTTCTTGTCAAAGTGAAGGGACTGTTTAACAACTGGAGGACCTTGTACCACTACGAAGCTCCTTCTCACTGGGTCGGGTCAGGCGTACAGCAGGAAGATCAATGTGGAGCCGAGATCTCAGGGTCAAGTGCCTTTAGGGGCCAGGCAGGTGACTGAGTGGGGTAACGTGGGCTGAGTGGGCCTGTGGCGACCCGAAGCGGGCTTTCTGTCAAAAGGACAAGGGCCCCCCATGCTAGCCAACTGCTGACACACAGAATACCAGAGTTTTACCTTTAAACACCTCATGTGACACAATATCACCATTCAGACATTTAAAAGCTGAGGCTCAGCTGGACGCAGTGACATTCTCTGAGAGAGCAGAGCACAGGGGAACCGGCAACGACGTCACGCTGGGGACACCTGGCAACACCCCCTGACCGGGTGACCCAGGTAAACGTCACCTCGAGGTGCTGGGGAAGTCGGGGCCCCTGACGCAGAGCTGTGGGCGGGGAGCTCCCCTCAGCGGGGTGCTGCTCACGGCCCATAGCCCGGGCGGTCAGGAGAGAGGCAGCAGCCACACCCGGGTGCAGCGGGTCCACAGAGCACCCGGCGGCCACCCCGCCACCCTCTCACGGCCGGGAACGCCAGCCAGGTCTGAGGGACGGACCCAGGCCCGGGGACCAAGGACACGTGGTATCAAATGCCATGTAGTATGTGTCGTGAGTGGGACCCCGAGTTGGGAGAGGGTCAGTGATGGGAAAGCTGGTCACCCCATAAAGCCAAGTCCGGGGACTAGGGACTCGTAAGGGGACCGCGCTGGCTTCCTTCCAGCTGTGACAGCTGTGCCTGTCCCCTCGTCAGGAGCGTCAGGGGGGGTGAAACGGGGGGGGGACACGGGATTTCTGTCCTCTGTCTTTGTAACTTCCCTGTTCCTGTGACACCCTTCACGAGAAGTTTCTCTGAAGGACGCAGCCGGGCCAGAGAGCACCCTCTCAGGGGGCATGGGGCACAGCCCCCCCACCCCCCACCCCCCACACGGCCCAGGGGAGAGAGGCCGGCCCCCCACCCAGAAAGAGGCACGGTGGCCTGGGCCGGGCTGCCCTCGGCCTGGAAGGACAGGAGCCACCTGCGGAGGACGGCCATCGCTGACACGTGTCACCGAAGTCTCCCCAGGACACAGGCAGTGTGCACACCGCCCTCAGGAGCCGTCTCCCCCTCTCTCCACTTCTGCGGGACCATCAGTCTGTGACCGTGGGCAGCGGTCAATGCCAAGAGTCACGGGAATGGTGACCAGCTACCTACCCACTCTCTGGAGAAGAGAAATTCCCGTTTCCTGGGAAACGGAGGCTCCTGCCCGTGACTGGGGTGGCAGGCAGCCACCGCCCCCTCCCTGCGGACCTGTGTTCTCCAGAAGCCCCCTACTCAGTCCCGCAGAGGCGCCCCCACAGGGCGTCAGGGCGGGGGCTACCGGGGCAGGTGGAGCCAGCCGGCCTCCCCTGAGCACCTCAGAGCGGGGGACAGACGCAGACCCGACCACTGAGGCGGGAGGTGCGGGCTTGTGGCCCCCCTCACCCGCCACCGCCTGGCGGCTGCAGCCGGGACTCACTGACGCGGAGTGGAGAGAACATGCAGGGGTGGGAGGTCTGGGGGGCCACACGCTGCCTCTCCCCCTCTGGGGCCCCCGCCCGACGACACGTCTAGGATGTCCATCCTGCCACCCCAGGGACAGCAGCCCAGGAGGCCGGGCCGGTGAGCCCGGCAAGGGGCGCCCCCAGGCTGAGAGGGGTCACCACCCCAGCATCGGGAAAGGATCCCCCGGGACCGAGGACCAAGAGGCCCTGCACCTGGCCCAGGCTGCCTGGTGCCTGGGGCCGCCCGGGAGTCTCTGCTGAGACCGAGTGCCAGGCGGCTCCGTTCCTGCAGCGGGTGGCCCTGGGCTGCAGGGCCCATCACAGGCCCCTCCCCAGGCCAGGCCGGAACACACCCAGCCCCCAGTTGGAGTCACAGCCCACGGTGCTGGTCACCGCTGGTTGCTCTGGTCACAGTCCGGGGTTTGAGTGACAGCCCATGGCCGGGCCCCTGGGGAATCTCCCTGTCCCTAGTCCAGAGGAAGCAAGGTCACCTCCCTCCCCGATGGAGGGGACATCGGCCCAACTTCATCCCCTGGCAGGTCCTGGTTCCCACGTGGGAGCCGGTGGGGAAATGAGGGCAGATGACACTGTCCATGGTGGTGGTTGGCAGCTTCTCCTGCCCGGGACAGTTTGACTGGGAGCGGGGACGCCCTCTCTGAACAGCTCACGTGAACTGACAGATGGTACGGTCCCCGCCATGGGTGCCCCTCCTGAGGGCACCTGTAATGATGACGATGGGGGAGGGGCCGCCCAGGGACTCCCTGAGGCCTCAGTCTGCAGGACACATCCCTGGGCAGGGCGTCCTCCGGGTCTGCGGGACACGGGGGCCATTTGCAGACACCTGCAGGTCGGAGACTCGGACACAGTGGCCGGTGTTTCCCAGGACGCGGTTTGTGACAGAGACCGTGTCTCAGAGGCGACCTCAAGGCCACCCCTCCTCACGGAGGACGCGGCCTGCTCTGAGGGCTCTGGGGACCTCAGGCCTTTGTCCCTCAGCCCCCGGGCCGGCTGCCCCACTGGCACTTACCCACAGCTACGCCCGGTGGGCCACCAAACAAGCCACCAATGATTGCCCCAGTGCTCGCCACAGAGGCGCCCTTCAAGGAACGCTTGATGGTCGCTTTCATTTCCTTGTTCTTTGCAAAGTGGCACAGCAGCGTCATGGCGTCCTCTTTCACAAGGTTGGGCATCTTGGTGGTCTGGGAGGAAGCGTTTCTGGGGAGAGATTCCAGAGTGTCAGAGCGTTACCACCCAAAGGCGACTCTCCCCAGAGTTTGGGGGACGGGTCCTGATTTTCGGGAGGGCACTGTAGCTCCTCTGTGCGCGTGAGGGACAGCACCCAGTCATGTGACACGTTCTCTGTCACCGAGAAAGCAGGGCTGCAGCCAGTTCACGGGCAAACAGAAGCAGCGGGCAGATGGAAACTCTTCTGTGCTTTCCAGTGACCTCTGCCAGGGGACAGGGAGGGACCTGCCCGCGTTCAGTGCAAGTGAGGCAAGGCCTGGCCGAGTGTGGGGTGTCCCAGCAGGTGTCCTCTTGGGAGATGTCCTCCTGGCCTCTCCCAGACAGGACATCTGGGCTCAGGACAAGCCCGAGAGGGGGAACACGGGACTCGGCCACCGAGACACAGGCCTCACACCCGCCCAGCTGGCACTGGGACTCCAAGCAGAGTGTTGGGTCCCGGCCAGTGGGGTGGACCGCCCTCCTCCCCCGCTGGATTCTGGAGGGGTGAGGGGAGCGCTGCCAGGTGCCCGGGGAGCGGGGACCCCGCAGACCCTCGGACATGGTGGCTCTGGGTCAGCATCCTGCCGCTGACCCCCACCCCCGGCCTCCAAATCCACCCCTGGGGAGGCAACCCACTTCTACTCACGGGTTGGATGAGGCAGAACGATGGGGCAGCCACAGAATAAGAGAAATTAGACAGTCCCAGGGTCTAATGTACCTGTGGGTGGGACTGACCTTTGGAACAATGATGACGGAGCAATTCTATAGGCTCAGCAACCTGGGTCCCGCTATCCCTGACTTCGGGGAAATGGGAGCTTGGCAGGAAAGGGCAGGTGGGGCCAGAGCAGGGCAGGGACAGGTGGACTCACGGTCATGGTCATGTGGTTGGAGTGCCCCACCTGGACACCTTCAGAGGAGCCTCTTCCTGCTTCAGCTGGAGCTGAGGCTGGGGTCCCTCCCCTCCCCTCCCAGCTCCCCCCTCCCCCGGCCCCTGCATTCAGGGCTGACCCCTGCAAACAGTCACCGAGGGGGCCCGTGGGGACGATGGGGGTCAACTCCATTGGTCTGTGCCTTCTGGTTGGATGAGGGTGTTTGGCCAAGGACAGTCCACGTGGGTGTCCAGTGTATTTGTGTTGGCCAAAAAGTATGTTACTTATTTTCCCATAAAATAAAAGACACATATTTCATTTTCAACAATATCATTATTGTTTTGGATATTTTCAATATGCTGGCTGTCTCCTGCTATTGGCTTGTTGTGAGCAGAGGGCATGTTCTTGAGAAACATCTTCCAATGCATGAGACAGCCTCACAGCAAAAAATTATTTGGCTCAGTTGTCAGTGGTACCAAGAAACATGGCAAGCCACTTTTAACCCTTTCAAGCAGTCACACCTCCTTGTCCATATGCTGCACAAATTCTTTTTGCATTTTATTTGTGTTTTCGCCATTCCTGAAATAATAAAGCATAGCATGCAGAAAATATTGCTTGTATTCTTCTGAGTTCAATAATAAAATAGCTACACCAAAATTCACCAATTTGGATAAGCTTTTTTAAAAAAGATTTTATTTTATTTTTCTTCTTTTTTAAAGATATTTTATTGATTATGCTATTACAGTTGTCCCATTACCCGTCTTCACTCCCCTGCACCCTGCATACCCCCTCCCACTCACATCCCCCCCCTTTAGTTTATGTTTATCTGTCATACTTTCAAGTTCTTTGGCTTCTACATTTCCCACACTATTCTTGCCCTCCCCCTATTTTCTCCCTACCATCTATGCTACTTGTTCTCTGCACCTTTCCTCTTCTCTCCTCCTCCCACTCCCCTGTTGCTAACCCTCCATGTAATCTCCATTTCTGTGGTTCTGCTCCTGTTCCAGTTGTTTGCTTAGTTTGCTTTTGTTTTTGTTTTAGGTGTGGTTGTTAATGATTGTGAGTTTGCTGTCATTTTCCTATATGTGTTTTTTATCTTCTTTTTCCTAGATAAGTCCCTTTAACATTTCATATAATAAGGGCTTGGTGATGATGAACTTTGTTAACTTGACCTTATCTGAGAAGCACTTTATCTGCCCTTCCATTCTAAATGAAAGCTTTGCTGGATATAGTAATCTTGGATGTAGGTCTTTGCCTTTCATGACTTGGAATATTTCTTTCCAGCCCCTTCTTGCCTGCAAGGTCTCTTTTGGGAAATCAGCTGACAGTCTGATGGGAACTCCTTTGTAGGTAACTGTCTCCTTTTCTCTTGCTGCTTTTAAGGTTCTCTCCTTCTCTTTAATCTTGAATAATGTAACGATGATGTGCCTTGGTGTGTTCCTCCTTGGGTCCAACTTCTTTGGGACTCTCTGAGCTTCCTGGACTTCCTGAAAGTCTATTTCCTTTGCCAGAATGAGGAAGTTCTCCTTTATTATTTGTTCAGTAAGTTTTCCACTTGTTGCTCTTCCTCTTCTCCTTCTGGTACCCCTATAATTCAGATGTTGGAATGTTTAAAGATGTTCTGGAGATTCCTAAGCTTCTCTTCATTTTTTTGAATTCTTATTTCTCTATTCTTTGATGTTTGGTTGTTTTTTTCTTCCTTCTGATCCACTCCATTGATTTGAGTCCCAGTTTCCTTCCCATCACTGCTGGTTCCCTGTACATTTTTCTTTATTTCATTTAGTGTAGCCTTCATTTTTTCACCTAGTTTGCACCCAAATTCAACCAATCACGTGAGTGTCCTAATTACCAGTGCTTTGAACTGTGCATCTGATAGGTTGGCTATGTCTTCATCACTTAGTTGTATTTGCTCTGGAGCTTTGATCTGTTCTTCCATTTGGACCATTTGTTTTTCCATTTTGACGCACCTGTGACGTATGAGGGGCGGAGCCTTAGGTGTTCACCCAGGTGGGGCAACTCACGTCACTGCGTTGTGACGCTGTATTTGTGGGCGGGGTCCAAGAGGGAACAACGGCCCTTGCTCCGCTCTCTGCCAGATTTTGGTCACTTCCTCCACTTCTCACAAGCAAACTGGGCCCTTCTGGTGCTGGTTCCCGGGTGGGTGGGCTTGTGCACGTTCTAGGACCCCGTGGGTCTCTCCAAGGAACTCTCCAGGGAGGCGGGGGGTTTCTCCCTGAGCCTCAACCCCCACAGGTGTTTTTAATCTGTGGTTTGAGGCTTTAGTTCCCCGGGCTGGGGCCCCGGGTTGCCAGGTCTGTGTTGCTCCCCAGGTGTTCCTGCAGGTTTATCTGCGCACGAATGTGGGACCACCTGCTCCACCCGCCGCCACCTTGCCGCGAGTCCTCTCTGCCCGGCTGCCCACCTCCGCCCCTCCTACTGGTTTGGATGAGTGTTTCTACTTGAACTCCTTGGTTGATGGAATTCCATACAGTTCGATTTTTCTGGCAGTTCTGGTTGCTTTTTGTTTTTACATTTGTTGTTGTTCTTCTGGTTGTGCGAGGAGGCACAGTGTGTCCACCTACGCCTCCGTCTCGGCCGCAAGTCTGAAAACAAGTTCTAAAAACCACCCCCTCCTCCACCAACGCTTAGACCTCGGTTAACTAGATTTTTTTTTGAACTAGAATAATTTAGGAAAAGCGTCTCTGCAGGTGAGGACAAGGTGTAGGCGGTCACCTATGTCCTGTCGGGGTCCCAGGGGCAGGAGCCTCGGCTTCCCGACCCAGCCGCGTGCTCAGCGAGGCCGGTCTCTGCCGCGAGTCCTCCCCCTCGCCCCCTCCCTCCACAGACGCCCACAGGGCTCCTGCCACAGCACCGGCCGGCTCCGCTCTCACCGCCGACCTCAGCTGGAGCCTCGGAGCAAGCGTCCTGCTTGAGAGAGGCGGCTGCCGAGGTACGGACGGTAACTCAGGTAACAGTACGGGGATGGGGGAGAATAAAATATGGTGGTGTGATGGATACTAGAGAGATGGGATAGACAGATAGGTAGACAGATAGGTAGAAAAATGCATAATGGATGGATGGATAATATGGGTGGGTGGAAGGATGGAGGGACAGACAGGTAGAGATCTAGAGATACAGACAGTGCGACTTGTCTTTGGGAAACGAAGAGGCCTCACCACTGAGGCTCCAGCAAGGTGAGCCCTGGGGGCGGATGTTTAAGACTCTGCAGGCAGGGAAGGCCCGGGAGCTGCCTCGCCCGGGCCGCTGGCACCCCTCCGGCCTCTGCTCGCGGTGCTTTCCGACCCAACGTTGGCGCCCCTTGCCAGCCTCACAGTCCTGCTGCTGAGAGGGCTCGGGCCGCGTCCCTAGCACCAGACAGCGCTGGCTGGTGACACACCTGTCCCCGCGCTGTCACCCGAGGTCTGGTCGCCTCCCCCAGGGCGTGGAGCCCCCATGGTGAGGGCAGGGCTAAGCGAGGTTTGAACGGGGCGTGTTGTCCTCCCAGAGCCGGCCCAAGGCCAGTGCCCGGGTACACGGTTCAGTCTTTCTAAAGGGTCTGTCGGCCTCACGGGGACACACCCCGGTGCCGGCCGGTCGGCTTTGCTGGGCCCGGGACGAACGGACGCTCCGGACCAACAGGTGAGCTGGGCGGACAGCAAGCGAGTCCCCTCCGATCCCCGGCCTCCAGGCCTCGCCAGGCAGGGCCCCGAAGGTCAGAGCCTCCCTCGGGACCTCAGCGTCCACAGATCCCCCCAGACTCCCCTGCCCCGTGAAGCCAGGCCCGGCATCGACCATGCAGTCTGGATGACCTCCGAGGTTCCCGGCACCGGGAAGTCACTGCCCTCCCGACCCCGGTCCTCGGTCACCTCCCCTCAAGCACCCACAGAGCAAGGGCGGGTGCCAGAGCGCCCTGGGGGGCGGCAGGAGCCCCACTGCCCGGCTGGGGCAGGGGGCCTCGGGTTTCTGTTCCGAAGTTTTACGTTCTGGATGTTTCACACACGGCCTTCTGATGGACTCATCTACCGGGAAGCTAAAGATACCCTCAAATAACTAAAAATAAACCCGAACTGCTAAAAATTCAGCATTTCTCCCCCTCGCCCGTGCCAGCTGGGCCTGTCTGCTTTCCTTCCAGCACCATCGGGCCCACAGACCAGACGCACAGAGTGAGAGCTGCCGCCCAACCGCAGCGTGCGCGGACGCCCTCGGAGGGCACTGAGATTCCCTCCTCCCTCCCTCCCTCCCTCCCTTCCATTTCTTTTCTCTTTTCTTTTTTTTCCTTTTCTTTTCTTCTTTTCTTTTCTTTTCTTTTCTTTCCTTTTCCTTCCTTCCCTCCTCCCATTTCTTTTTTCTTTTTCTTTTCTCCTCTTCTCTTCTTTTCTTTTCCTCCCTCCCTTCCTCCCTCCCTCCCTTCCTCCCTCCCGTCCTTCCTTCCTTCCTTCCTTCTGTTTCTTTTCTCTTTTCTTTTTTCTTTTCTTTTCCTTCCTTCCATTTCTTTCCTTTTTCTTTTTCTTTTCTTTTCTCTTCTTTTCCCTCCATCCCTCCCTCCGTCCCTCCTTTCCTTCCTTCCATTTCTTTTCTCTTTTCTCTTTTCTTTTTCTTTTCTCTTCTTTTCTTCTTTCCTTTTCTTTTCCTTCATCCCTCCCTCCCTTCCTTCCTTCCCTCCTTCCATTTCTTTTCTTTTTCTTTCCTTTTCTCCTCTTCTCTTCTTTTCTTTTCCTCCCTCCCTCCTTCCCTCCCTTCCTCCCTCCCTTCCTCTCTCCCTCCCTTTCTTCCTCTTTCTTCTCTCTCCTCCTCCCTGCCACCCTCTCTCCTCTCCTTCCCTCCCCACTCCCTTCGGTTCTGCATCTCAGGCCCCTTTACGTTGCCATTTAGGAGAGTTTTGTCCCCGTGCCGCCTCCGGGGTGTCCTCCCTCTGGCTGCTGCCCCTGAGGGACCTGCTGGCCTCTGGGAGTGCCACACAGAGCCCCCGAGGGACAGTCCGGGGGACCCCGCAGGGCCCAAGCCTCACATCCAACCCCATTTCCAGGGGGGACTTTCACACACATGTCTGCCGTGGAAATCAATCAGGTAAATTGATAAGACGCCCTCCTCCCCACAAACTACAGAATGCACAGTCAGCAGACCAGTGGGAAGAACGAACCTACTAAACACACATGTTCGCACTCCACCTGCTTACGTCACCGGGGTCCTGGGGGGAGGCCTTGCAAAGGCGGGGGTCTGCAGGCCCCGCAGACCTCCCCGGGGTGTTGTTAATGCACAAGGAAGGCATCAGTTTCGAAGGGATGAATGGGAGACGCTTTTCTGACTTATGGTTAGAAACAGAAAAAATGGCAATGGCATGAAATACAGCGTCTGCAAACCTATTTCGGAAGACACACGCTGGGTTGGCCTGGGGCGCCCCGGGTGGCCCGGATTCAGGGGGCAGGGGGTGAACGGCCAGCAGACGGGCCTTTGGAGGGAAATCTAGCGCCTTCCTGTCGACCCCGCAAGTCCCACGTGTGGTGTGGGGCCTGGGAGAGGGTCTGCGTGAGAGGAAGAGCGGGATTCACCAGCGGGCTGGCCAGGGCAGGTGGGCGGAGCTTACCTGGGCAGGTGAGGGGCCCCGGCCCTGCCCCCATTCCTGAGGCTTGGCTGTGGAATCTCGCATCCACCCGGCCTGGCCGCCCCCCGCAGACCAGGTGCAGAGACGGGCGCCCTGGAGAGTGCTGGGTGTCGCAGTCACAGAGGCCACGTGCAGCCGTGGGCCAAGGCGTCACCCCCACCCACACCCAGGGGGAGCCTGTATCGAGTGCCGCTGGGACTGTGCCCACGTCAGCGGCGGCACACAGATGCCCCTCCCCCAGTTTCCATGTCCCACGCACCCCTGGGTCTGCAGGCAGAACCACGTGTCCAGAGAGTGGCCGGGAACCAGGAGCCATGTCCACGCTCCGACAGAGGGGTGGACCTGAAGCCCCACGCTCCTCCCCACACTGTGGCCTGAGTCACTGCAGGACCACGGCCGGCTTCTGGGTGCCGCGCACCGAGAGGCCACGCCCTGTCCTGAGGGACGCGGGGGCAGCCCTGCCGCTGGGGAGGGACCTGGACCAGATGAAACTACAGCCTTAGATTGGCTGCCAGTCCGTACCCAGCAACTGCACTGTGAGGGGTGGGCCCCAAAGACCCTGTGTGGGGGGCCGGGCATCAGGGGGGTACCCCGAACCCGGAGGTCACCGGTCCGGTTCCTGGACAGGGTCGGTGCCTGGGATGTGAGCTCAGCCTCCATCCGCCACACGGGCGAGAGGCGACAGGTGGAGGTTTCTCTCTCAGGTCGACGGTTCTCTCCCTCTTTCTCCACCCCTCCCCCCTCTCTAAAAATGGATGCCTCTCTTCAAAGAGGTCACCAACGTGGTGCCCTCCCTGTCGTCCCCACCCCTCAGAGGGGATGACTCCCAGTGTTAGGGACGCTGACCAGGAGTGAGGGGACAGAGACACTGGGCAGGAAGTGTGTCACATCTGGGGACAGTGCTGGCGTGGTTCTAGGTGCGGGGGAGGGGCCCAGTGTGGGACATTCGGGTGCCCACTTCTCAGAGGTGGCCTGGGACCCAAAACCTTTAGGGAGATCAGTGGCACCTTCTGCTGCAAGCAGCGACCCGGAAAAGCAGCACCAAACGGGACAGTAGGGCCTAAGGGGGTGGGAGAAGGGCGGGGTGCCCTGGATGTTTCCCTCCCAGAGGCCCCTTGGATGAGACTGGGGGAGGGGCTCGCTCAGGAGGTCCCCATGGTTCCAGTGGGGCCGGCTGCCAGGTCCTGGGACCTCGGGTCCGGAGGGGCACCCACTCCTGCTGCACCTGCCCAGGTCAGAGGTCACCTTCGCAGATGAGAGGCTGCCCACTGCCACCTCCCTGCAGACCCCACGGCAGGAGGGTGGGCTCAGAAACGTTCCCAAGGCGGCCACGCCACAGGACGCCTGCATCGGTAGTGTCTAGGCCAGGCTCCCGCACAGCCCAGCTTCCCCCGCAGCAGGCTCCTGGCTGCGGAAGGCAGCGAGGTCACCCACGGTGCCATGAGAATTTCTAAAACAGGGACACTGACTTCTTTTCCTTTAGACGGTCAAAGAAAACGGACAACGGACAACACAAAGTAGACGTCTGGCGTGAGTGAATCAAAACTACATGTATTTTGTTCATCAGGTCAGCCAAAAGCACAGTTTATTTTCTGGTGTGAATCGCTTGCGTGTGCTGTGAGGGGGACAAGGGTGGGCGTGGCGGGTTTAAGGCGACACGGGGCTCTGTGGGCACCCAGCCCCTGCCCCTCCTGGGGACCCCTGGCCCCGAGGGACTAGAACCCAGACTGCACTTTGGTCTTCAGCTCTGTCTCGATGAAACCCACCAGGACGTCCGCCAGCTGCTGCTGGAGCCTCTCACTGCGCATGACCAGAACCATCAGATCCGCCTTGTCCATCCTGTCCACATTGCAGATGACGGCCTTGACCTTGTCCAACAGCTTTTGCTTCTGGTTATGCGACAGCTGCTGGATAATCTCACTGACGGGCTTACAGGGCTTTGATATCCCAGCCCCTACAAGTCCCCCGAGGGCACTGCCTGGAGGACAAGGAAGGCTCAGTGAGTCGGGCCTGTTCACAAACGGTGTCCTCGGCAGCGGCGGCCCCGCTGGACGCAGTGACTCTCTCTGGGAGAGCAGCGCACAGGGGACGCGGCACCGACGTTACGCTGGGGACACCTGGCAACACATCCTGACCAGGTGACCCAGGTGAACACCACTGTGAGGTGCCAGGGACGTCGGTGCCCCTGATGCAGAGCCGTGGACAGGGAGCTCCCCTCAGCGGGGTGCTGCCCACGGCCCGTAGCCCCCGCTGTCAGCAGAGAGGCAGCAGCCACTCCCGGGCACAGTGGGTCCACAGAGCACCCGGCGGCCACCCCGCCACCCTCTCACGGCCGGGAACGCCAGTCAGGTCTGAGGGACGGTCCCAGGCCAGGGGACCAAGGACACGTAGTATCAAATGCCACGTAGTATCTGTTGTGAGCCGGACCCCGGGACGGGAGAGGCTCAGTGATACGAAAGGTGGTCACCCCATAAAACCAAGTCTGGGGACTAGGGACTGGCAAGGGGACAGCGCTGGCTTCCTTCCAGCTGTGACCTGAGACTTTTATCCCATAGCCGCCAGGCCGGCTGTCCCAGTGACGCACTGGCACTTACCAACAGCCATTCCTGGGGCGCCGCCAAGGAGGACACCAAGCAGGGCCCCAGTTACAGCCAGCCCAGCAGTCTTCTTAGAGCGCTGGACAGGCACTCTCATGTTCCTCTCGTCGGAAATAAAGCCCAGCATACTCACAACATTTTCCACCATGATGAGCACCTCGGCGGCGTGGGAGGAAGCGTTTCTGGGGAGAGATTCCAGAGTGTCAGAGCGTTGCCACCCAAAGGCGGCTCTCCCCAGAGTTTGGGGGACAGGACCTCATTTTCGGGAGAGCACCGAAGCTCCCCTGTGGGTGTGAAGGACAGCACCCAGTCATGTGACACGTTCTCTGTCACCGAGAAAGCAGGGCTGCAGCCAGTTCACGGGCAAACAGAAGCAGTGGGCAGATGGAAACTCTTCTGTGCTTTCCAGTGACCTCTGCCAGGGGACAGGGAGGGACCTGCCCGCATTCAGTGCAAGTGAGGCAAGGCCTGGATGAGTGTGGGGTGTCCCAGCAGGTGTCCTCTTGGGAGATGTCCTCCTGGCCTCTCCCAGACAGGACATCTGGGCTCAGGACAAGCCCGAGAGGGGGGAACACGGGACTCGGCCACCGAGACACAGGCCTCACACCCGCCCAGCTGGCACTGGGACTCCAAGCAGAGTGTTGGGTCCCGGCCAGTGGGGTGGACCGCCCTCCTCCCCGCTGGATTCTGGAGGGGTGAGGGGAGCGCTGCCAGGTGCCCGGGGAGCGGGGACCCCGCAGACCCTCGGACATGGTGGCTCTGGGTCAGCATCCTGCCGCTGACCCCCACCCCCGGCCTCCAAATCCACCCCTGGGGAGGCAACCCACTTCTACTCACGGGTTGGATGAGGCAGAACGATGGGGCAGCCACAGAATAAGAGAAATTAGACAGTCCCAGGGTCTAATGTAACTGTGGGTGGGACTGACCTTTGGAACAATGATGACGGAGCAATTCTACAGGCTCAGCAACCTGGGTCCCGCTATCCCTGACTTCGGGGAAATGGGAGCTTGGCAGGAAAGGGCAGGTGGGGCCAGAGCAGGGCAGGGACAGGTGGACTCACGGTCATGGTCATGTGGTTGGAGTGCCCCACCTGGACACCTTCAGAGGAGCCTCTTCCTGCTTCAGCTGGAGCTGAGGCTGGGGTCCCTCCCCTCCCCTCCCAGCTCCCCCCTCCCCCGGCCCCTGCATTCAGGGCTGACCCCTGCAAACAGTCACCGAGGGGGCCCGTGGGTCGATGGGGGTCGACTCCATTGGTCTGTGCCTTCTGGTTGGATGAGGGTGTTTGGCCAAGGACAGTCCACGTGGGTGTCCAGTGTATTTGTGTTGGCCAAAAAGTATGTTACTTATTTTCCCATAAAATAAAAGACACATATTTCATTTTCAACAATATCATTATTGTTTTGGATATTTTCAATATGCTGGCTGTCTCCTGCTATTGGCTTGTGGTGAGCAGAGGGCATGTTCTTGCGAAACATCTTCCAATGCGTGAGACAGCCTCACAGCAAAAAATTATTTGGCTCAGTTGTCAGTGGTACCAAGAAACATGGCAAGCCACTTTTAACCCTTTCAAGCAGTCACACCTTCTTGTCCATATGCTGCACAAATTCTTTTTGCATTTTATTTGTGTTTTCGCCATTCCTGAAATAATAAAGCATAGCATGCAGAAAATATTGCTTGTATTCTTCTGAGTTCAATAATAAAATAGCTACACCAAAATTCACCAATTTGGATAAGCTTTTTTTAAAAAGATTTTATTTCATTTTTTTCTTCTTTTTTAAAGATATTTTATTGATTATGCTATTACGGTTGTCCCATTACCCGTCTTCACTCCCCTGCACCCTGCATACCCCCTCCCACTCACGTCCCCCTCCTTTAGTTTATGTCCCTGTGTCATACTTTCAAGTTCTTTGGCTTCTACATTTCCCACACTATTCTTATCCTCCCCCTATTTTCTCCCTGCCATCTATGCTACTTGTTCTCTGCACCTTTCCCCCCTCTCCTCCTCCCACTCCCCTGTTGCTAACCCTCCATGTGATCTCCATTTCTGTGGTTCTGCTCCTGTTCCAGTTGTTTGCTTAGTTTGTTTTTGTTTTTGTTTTAGGTGTGGTTGTTAATGATTGTGAGTTTGCTGTCATTTTCCTATATGTGTTTTTTATCTTCTTTTTCCTAGATAAGTCCCTTTAACATTTCATATAATAAGGGCTTGGTGATGATGAACTCCTTCAACTTGACCTTATCTGAGAAGCACTTTATCTGCCCTTCCATTCTAAATGATACCTAAATGATACCTTGCTCTATCGCTTGATAGAGCAATCTTGGATGCAGGCCCCTGCCTTGCATGACTTGGAATACTTCTTTCCAGCCCCTTCTTGCCTGCAAGGTCTCTTTTGGGAAATCAGCTGACAGTCTGATGGGAACTCCTTTGTAGGTAACTGTCCCCTTATCTCTTGCTGCTTTTAAGGTTCTCTCCTTCTCTTTAATCTTGGGTAATGTAATTATGATGTGTCTTGCTATGTTCCTCCTTGGTTCCAACTTCTTTGGGACTCTCTGAGCTTCCTGGACTTCCTGGAAGTCTATTTCCTTTGCCAGAATGGGGAAGTTCTCCTGTATTATTTGTTCAAATAAGTTTTCAATTTCTTGCTCTTCCTCTTCTCCTTCTGGTACCCCTATAATTCAGATGTTGGAACGTTTAAAGATGTTCTGGAGGTTCCTGAGCTTCTCCTCATTTTTTTTTGAATTCTTATTTCTCTATTCTTTTGTGTTTGGTTGTTTTTTTCTTCCTTCTGATCCACTCCATTGATTTGAGTCCCAGTTTCCTTCCCATCACTATTCGTTCCCTGTGCATTTTCTTTCATTTCTCTTATTGTAGCCTGCATTTGTTCATCTAATTTGTGACCAAATTCAACCAGTTCTGTGAGCATCCTGATCACCAGTGCTTTGAACTGTGCATCTGATAGGTTGGCTATCTCTTAGTCACTTAAAAGTACCGATTGTGGGGCTTTCAGTTCTGTTTGAGCCATCTTCCCCCCCCCCCGCCCCCGCCTATGGTCTAATCGCACCTGTTATATGTGCGGGGTGGAGCCTTAGGTGTTCACCAGGGCAGGGCACCCCAGTCACTGGGTTGTGACTCTGTATGTGGGGCCAGGGTCTGAGAGGGAACAGTCGCACCTGCTCTGCTCTTTGTTGGACCTCAGTCCCTTCCGCCGCTTCTGCCAAGCAAACTGTGTCCCTCTGGTCCCATGTGGGTGTGCTTGTGCACACTGTGGGACCCTCCAAGGACCTCTCCTGTGAGGCTGGGAGTCCCTCCTTTGCCTCAAGCCCCACAGGTGTCCTCAGTCAGTGTCCCAAGGCTCTATTTCCCAGTGCTGGGATCCTGGGTTGTGCGCAGTGCCTTGCTTCACAGTCGCCCCCTCACTGGGTCTGCCGGTTGCCACCCCTCAGTCGGGGTCTGCCAGCTGTCACTTGTGCGGTCAGGGTCCCTCTGCTGTGGTCTTGCACGTCCTGGATGCCTTATGTGGCTGGTCCCATCACTCTCTGCTCTCCTTGCCCCAACCTGCGCCTGGCTGTCCGACTCCGCCCCTCCTACCGGTCTGGATGAACAGGTCTATTTTAACTCCTTGGTTGTCCAACTTCCATACAGTTCAGTTTTCTGTCAGTTCTGGTTGTTATTCTGATTCTAAATTGTTGTTGTCCCTATCTTGGTTGTGCGAGGAGGCACAGTGTGTCTACCTATCCCTCCATCTTGGCCGGAAGTCCTGATAAGCTTTTTTTTTTAATGTAGGTTGATATGACAGCTGTCACAATACAGTCTAGCAAAACTGCTTTGAATGAGTTAAAGACAACTAAGCGCTTACTAGAGCCATCGTATGGGGAAAAACATAACAGACTTTTTGGCCGACGCAGTACAAGCATCCTCCCAGTTTTGGGAGAGAACCGTGTGTGTTTAAAACCTGTTCTGTGTATCTTCATGTCTCCGCAATCAAGTTTCCAGAACTCCCCGCGCTGCCTTGAGAGCTGGGGGGCATCCCGGCTCAGTGCCCCGCCCTGCTGCGACTCCCAGGTGTCCTAGACCCCCCAAACACCTCCTGGGCTCCAGGCCCTTCTGCCCCCAGCAGTGACCCAATGCAGACAGAACTCATGCCCCGCCTCCTCCTCAGCGAAGAGGGCCCCTTCGGCCGTCCCACAGGTCCAGACTGCCCACACGCCAGTATCAAATTAATAGTGACACTGCACTCAGGTCCTGGAGGACCCCGGGCAGGGCGCGCGCCCCGCCGGCCGGCCCCGCCGAGGCGTTCGGATCAGTCTGGTGGCCCAAGGCCGCCCGTGCCCTCCCCCCAGCCCACTGGGAGCCCCCGTGCCCCTTTGGCCCCGGGGACCCTGGGCCCAGGGCCCACTCCATCCCACAGCTCCACGGAGAGAGCACAGGGCCTTGGGAAGTGAGGGCTGAACTAGCGTTTGGTGACAGGACCGGCCCTGTCCAATAGCAGCTGTCCCCCACTCCACCCCGGACTCTGGCCTTGGGGGTTGCTGTGTGAAGGCCAAGGGCAGGCTTCCTCCTAGTGCTCAGGACAAAGCTGAGGTGGGGGGGGCCTGGAGCATGCAAGGGGCTCAGGGACTGTGAGCAGGGGGACCCAGCGGACACCCAAATCCCTGCTGTGTGTGCCTCTGCTAATGTGAAATCCAGGTAAGGGCCGCAGGAGCCCGCCCCCTCGTCCTGTTTGGGGACCCACAGCAGCAGGAGCCAGAGCCACCTTGCACCAGCTGGGCTCAGGGCTCCTTAGGCCCCCCTGCCCCACAGTGCAGGCAGCACCTCGGAGCCCTCGGAGGGCCCTTTCCTTCTCCGTGGGGGGTGGACCCGCAAGTGAGGGGGCGTCCGCTGTGCTCTAGAGGGGCACATGGAGCCCCCAACACACACATGGGCTGGCCTGGAGCCATCTGGAGTCTGCAGAAGCCTTCTGGGCCTTTCCACAGATGTCCCATGAGTCTTGGCAGGGACCCTGTGGGGCAGGCCCAGTTGTCACCTCCATTTCAGAGAGGAGCCCGAGGCCCCAGGGGGAGAGTGTCAGTGTCCAGATGCCCCTCACCCTGGGCCCAGCTGGCTCTGAGCCCTTGCCCGTGACCCGGCCCCCGAGTCTTTTCTATCGCAGTGTCCCTGCGCCTTTCTGTGGTCTGATGTGCATAGACGCACAGATATACTCCATGGTGGTGCGGTTGCTGCGGTGGCCGGCACACTGCCCCGCTGGATAGGTGTGTGGCCCGGGGGCCACAGTGCTCTGTGACATTTGCACATCGAGCAACCTGTGGGACATCACACTTCCAGGGACGGGTCCCCATCATCAAGAGGCGCGTGACCCTGCATATACATATAGAGAATTTTTAAATTTTATTTATTTTTAGAGAGGAATAAGGGAGGGAGAAAGAGAGGGAGAGAAACATCCACGGGTGGTTGCCTCTCACGCGCCCCCTACTGGGGACCTGGCCTGCAACCCAGGCCTGTGTCCTGACTGGGAATCGAACCGGCAGCCCTGTGGTTCACAGCCCGGGCTCAGTCCACTGAGCCACACCAGCCAGGGCTTGCTTTTTTTTTTTTTTTTGAACCACACTTGGATTTGTTGGCACCGTCCATGAACCCAAACACAGGTGCCCCCCCCCCACACACACACTGTGGAAGGAGGCCGCCTCCCATCAGCCACAGCAGGTGCCCACACAACTCCACCCCGGAAACGGGGCAGTGCCCAGGCTTCGGCCAGGGTCTGGGGGGGAAACGGACATGCAGACGTCGCTAGTCTTCTGTTTTCCTAAACCCTCAACGCGAATGGGGAAGGTGACGCCTACAGAGAATCTGTGACCCCGCCCTGAGGTGGGGCCGACGCACTGCACGCTGCGTGCCTTTAACGACGTACGCAGCCCGATTCATCCTGGGGTAAGTTTACACCCGTGAAGTCGGCAAGGCCACAGAGACAGCTGTTC